TATTGAATTTTTAATTATTGATGCTTATTATGAATTATTGAATTTTTAATTATTGATGCTTATTATGAATTATTGAATTTTTAATTATTGATGCTCAACTACTCGTGTGATGATGGATAATCTAACTTTTAGCTGCAGCGACGGCGCCAGAGTGAAACAAATTCCCAAGAAGACCTCGGAGAGGATTATTCTTCAGAAGATCACCTCCTGCATGCAGTATTGAATCACCAGTTTTCTCAACCTGACCCACAACACTGTCGATGTCCTTCTCAACGACTCCAGCTGCACTCGCTGCCACAGCAGCGACTTGATCCTCCTCTGGTCTCGCACTTACGTACATTACTGTGAATTACATCAGTCATTACAGATATACGAGCACATGGTAATTAATTAATTCCATGAAATGGATGGGACACGCCGAAACGCTCAATAAATCAGAATTAATGACCCAAAAATGATCTTCTACTCAGGGAAGATTATTTTTTTTTAATACTACAGAAAAGATTTTTTTTTAATACTCCAATTATACTAATAGTACAATGGAATTTAACGAAATGAAAATAATTAACCACTGACCGAAGGCGAAGCACAAGAGTCCCATGAGAAAGTGAGTATTCATCTTGAATAATTTCTTATTGACGACCGTGCAATGAACAATTGTATCTTCAGTTTCTCTCCTGCGGTTTTTATCTGAATTATTGTGTATTTAATAAATAATGCAATTGAGTTATGACCAACGTCATTGATAAATCATTATTTAGATTTGGAGAGGAATAACAGCGCAAATAACAATGTATTACTACGATAATAAGTGATGCATCGAAATCTGATTGTCATTCGATTTGATCATCGTGTGACTTTGATTTTTATTTTTAAAAAAGTCATGATGAATGGTAAATTGACGGGCGTCAGTTGGCAGGTAGAAAACACGTACTGCAGAATAAAATCACAGACTTATCATCTTGGAATTATTATATTATTCTCTCAATTTTGATAAAAGGTATTAAGAGAACATTTTCATTCTTAAATTAATTTCTTCATTTCTCAGATCTGCATCGATCACACAATAGATCACAAAAATATCTCAGTACATACAGACTCTACATCAATTTCCAGCGGATATTTCATCGATTATCTCGATTCAATATTTAATAGTATTGCATTGAGATTCCGCGGACATCTGTTTTTTTTTTTTCAATTGCCTCCTGTTCATCCTGTCCTCGGTGAGGTTGCGTTACGACCACCTCCGACTACACCACCAATTCCATTGCCACCACCGAGAAGTCCATTCAATCCCAAAAGACCACCAGGCTGCTGACCTGGCTGGCCCTGTTGGCCGTTAACACCGAGGAGTCTCCCCAGACCAGGAAGGACATTACCACCGAGGAGATCACCTACTCCTGGTAAAACTCCAGGCCCTTGTCCATCACCACCGAGGAGTCCACCTAATCCTGGGACTACACCACCTCCAGCTCCAGCTCCAGCACCTGCACCAGGAGCTGCACCTGGAGCTGCACCAGGAGCTGCACCAGGAGCGGTACCACCAAGTAATCCACCGAGAAGACCAAGATTTTGCCCCGCTGTGAAGAGAATACTCCGATGATTAATGTCTCTCAATGAAATTCGAATATATATCAATTAACATTTCAGTTAATCGAAAAGACAATTTACTCACCGGCGATGCAAAAAGTTGCATATAAAAATATTATGTATTTTTCCATAATGCTAAAGCGGTAGAACAAGTCTTCTTACGAGAGAATAAGTATGAATACTCTTCACTCGTCGATTGCCAAGATTATATATCACTCGAAACGGAAATACCATCCCAAATTTGTGTCTTTTAATTCCTTGACATTATTTACTCACAAGTCTTTTCGAGATAAAAGAAACCCCTGTGTATTTTTTAAAACCCAAATCGATGCAGAGTGATTCCAATATGTTTTCACAATTTGACGTATAATAACGTAAATTTCATTTCCAAAAATATCGACACAACTGACAGTCCGAGTATTTTCAATATTTGAAGATGCGATGCAGGAGATTTTTATGATTATTATAATGGAACTTTCCAAAAAACCATTAATAATAACATAATAATGACAATGATTTCATAAATTTTGTTTATTGATTGATCTTCATTGACTCCACAGGCGAATGAGATTGATTCAGTGAAAAAACGAATGGTGTAGGTGCAATAATTTATCGCTGATCATGAACTCAATAATTTCCATTGAAAAATATATTTATTTGATATTGAGGTAAAATTGTAGTAGCAGATACATTTTGAATCTCTTTAAAAAATGGACGGATTGTTTGTTTACATTTTTTCAGTGATATTTAGACTTCTACTTGGGCACCAGTTGCTGGTTCTCCACCAGGTGCTGGTTCTCCACCAGGTGCGGGTTGTGGACCAGGAGCAGGTTGTGGGCCAGGAGCGGGTTGTGGACCCGGAGTGGGTTGTGCACCAGGTGCGGGTTGTGGAGCAGGAGTGGGCTGTGCACCAGGAGCAGGTTGTGCACCAGGAGCAGGTTGTTCACCAGGAGCAAAGATTCCACCAATTCCTGATAAGACTCCACCAGGTCCCCGTGGGCTACCACCACCGAGGACTCCCCTTGATCCCGGGATGATTCCACCACCACCTCCACCGCTGCCTGCACCACTACCACCACCACCACCTCCGATGATTGAATTCAAAAGACTGCCCAGGTTTTGTGCCGCTATCAATTAAACATTTGCAATAATTAAAATAAAATCTTATGATCAGGAGAATATAGCAACTCAACAATCGTTTCTGTTTCAAAAATTCTGGTTGCAATCGAATATACTTTTTAATCAATCCTGCGCGTATGATGCAATTCATGCACATTTTTTCTTCAATTAATTTATAAATAAAAATGTAATTCGGGTCGAGGCTGTTAGAATTGAAGAAATAAATATTCACTCACCGGCTACGCTAATAATAGCGAATAATACTATTAAAAAGTTCCTCATGGTGTAGCTGTTGGGACAGTTCTTCTTCTGGAGGTAAAATGATGAATGTTGCTCCCTCACAGACTCCAGTCCTTTTATATAACTTGAACCGGATATAATGAGGATTTTTTTCGATATAAAGCCCCATTCACCAACATGTCTACCCGAGATAAAAAAATTTGTATTTTTTCAAACAAACATATGAGTAGGTTTCCGAGTGTTATCACAATTTGACAAAGAACAACGTCCAATTATTTTTATTTTGACACACTGGATGTGCTCTAAGGCGATAAATGAAAATCCATTTTTTCAGGGAATCCCTTTTCCTGGGAGTGGACATCCAATTGGTCATCATCCGAGTGTTCGCATTCGTAAGGAGTTCAATCCTGAATTTAGAATAGGATGAAACAATTCAGTCATCGATTACGGGGGAAAATATTCCGTCAATACAATTGCCACAACATCTCGTGGTCAGAAAATTATTTCGAAAGTCTATGAATAATAATTTTACACCGATCGATATGTGAAAATATCTCCAAAATACCTGAAAATGGTGATAATCCATCACTGATATTGATAACATAAAATTGATTAAGTATAAGGGCTTGGAGTATTAAATTATTGCTAATTAACGACGAGTAAGAAAAAGACCAATATTCTAATAAAATCCAGAATTTCCACTTTACCATTTTTTAATCGTTTTTTTTTTCTGAATTCTCATTTTTATTTTGAACTCGAGAAAAAAGAAGTCGTTGCACATGGGACTGTGATATTCGTAGTTTATAAAATATTATTATGAATAATACTAAAAGACGATTGCGCATGGATTAGAATAAGTTTCTATCGACATTAAATTCTGGTGAGAAATCATTCCAGATTCTAAAAATCGACAATGAATGATTGCACCTATTTATTTGAACCGCGACCTTATGAAAACAGCATATCACGCTCAGAAAGTTTTCCATCTCGTGTTCTTATATCTACAGTCGTGAAATTTTATTAATTCAAGTGTACATTATCGTCAATCCGCGTTATTGAGACATATCGATGCTTATTGTTCCTCTGCACCTGATGATTTACCCAATGACATTGACGTCAATCCTCTATTAGGTATTGATCATAGATATGCTCGAAATAAATATCATAAACATAAAAAGATATCATATATATTCTCTTTTACGCCTAATGCTCTTGATTCTTTCATAAAAATTATGAGGATCCACGACCGCAGTCAAAGATTGACCTTCGGAAAATGAAATTGAAATTGAAATTGAAATTTTTCAAATTCTGCATGATGATAGACAAAAAATGAAATGCTCATGTTTCTTCACCCTATGAGGCGATTTACAATAATTCCGTCATCACCAGATTTCCGGGATTTTCCATCATCATCATCTGAGCAGTCGTCAGAGGCTGCACTAGGATCCTTGTCGGTTGGCTGATCACCTTTTGAGATATCGCCCTCTGATTCTCCGCCTTCGGAACATTCGGTCTTCCCTTCCTTCGTTTCTCCATCTGAGCCTTCCCCTTTATCGATATATCCTGATCCTTTTCCACTTCCACTTTCCTTTGGGCCTGTCAAATCTTTCTTATCGCAATCTCCATCTTTTCCACCATCCCCGGGGCCTTCCTTGACTTTATCGATTAATCCACCTATTACTTTACATGGCTTACCCCCACCGATTAATCCACCCAACAATTTACCAGGCTTATCCCCACCGGTTAATCCACCTATTAATTTACCAGGCCCATCGGTTAATCCGCCTATTAATTTACCTGGTTTAGCCCCACCGGTTAATCCACCTATTAATTTACCAGGGCCATCGGTTAATCCGCCTATTAATTTACCAGGCCCATCGGTTAATCCACCTATTAATTTTCCATGCTTATCTCCACCGATTAATCCACCTATTAATTTTCCAGGCTTATCCCCACCGGTTAATCCACCTATTAATTTTCCAGGCTTATCCCCACCGATTAATCCACCTATTAATTTTCCAGGTTTATCTCCACCGGTTAATCCACCTATTAATTTTCCAGGTTTATCTCCACCGGTTAATCCACCTATTAAT